TTGTTTTAGCTTTTTTTGTTAGATTTTTTTCATCACATTTTACCCACAAAGTGGATTGCGCTTGGAGTAAATTCACATTGGGACTACAACTAAATTGTAGCCTTGACATATCACAATCATGCAGTGATTACCACTTTTTCCTAGTAATTAATGTTAACTCACCAGGTGCAAGAACTGCTGTTCAAGAGCTTTATACTCTGGAGAACTTCTATTGAATAGGTCATCAGAAAATGGCATATTAGTCACTCTCAGGCTGAAAAACACAACAAGCTCTTTTCCTTTATCAGCAGATCCTTGGGAACTCTGTGATACATGCTCTATTGCAGAAGAGTCTGTACTGTTGAATATTGTATCTAAATCTGTAGCATTGTCTATATCCGGTACTGCATTAGTATCATACATTTTAGTCCATATTTCTGTGGAAACACCAGTCACCTCAGCAATTGTGACTGGTGCCATGACAGTGGGCTCTACAAAGACAGCAGAAACATCTACGTTTTGAGTACTGACTTTGTCAACAGGCTGCGGAGTGTTTGAAAATTCAAGTAGGTTGTCTCTTGGAATAGGAATTTGTGGTTCGGGGGTGGAGGTAATGTCCTCGAACAATTGAATTATACGTGGAGTAGCTTGGTTACTGGGTTCAGAAGTTTCCACAGGTGATATTTTAAAGGCTGGCGTGGTTGAGAATAAATAACTATCTAGATAAGCAGGGGATGTTTCAACAGTACCAATGAAACCCGAATCTGCAGGTGATATATCTTCTGTTATCATAGTATTGAGATTTAAATATGGTGGATGAGATGAAAAAGAACTTGTAGATGTAGGAATATTAATATATGAAGAATCCCCTGAAGTTTCCATCGTATCGACATGATATTCATCTGCAAATAAAAAAAATATATTTTTTTATATAGTTTTGTTTTTAGTAAACACCTAATTGCAAATATTTCTCTAGTATAAGTTACTGCAGTAAATGATTAGGAGTTAGCTATTTCAGTTGAGTTAAGAAAAAAATTATTAAACTACACCAATACAGACTTGACATTTTTATGCATTTGATCACAAACCATTAGTAACTGTAAATAATATTAAGGACAGAATCAAAAGCAACATCACCAACAAGTAATGAAGACTGTTAAAGATGCAGTCTAAGCACCATAACCACTATATATGTAGAGGTAGTGGTTACAGTAGTGGTTACAGTACCATTAGGTTGTGGACACAGCTCTTAGTCAAACAATTGAATTCCGGCATTGCCAGTTGCAGAAAAAATATTTTAAAATGTAATTTATATCTCTTAAGGTGCAATAAAAATATATATGATGTATTTAGGACGTGATTGTGTGTTAACGATACTATGTCCATTTATTGTTGACCTGTGTAGTAATGTTGTCACTTGACAAGAACACTCTTTCTATATAGACAACAGTAGTAAAAGGTGTTACCTGAAAATTGAAATATTGTGAAACAGAATACTCAAAGTATTTTTTTAAATGACATTTTTCACGTAGTGATATTCCCACTTTAACTTAAAACATAGCAGACAGCATATTTTATGTGTGTAAATGTGATAAAGTAGAAAGAAATATGTGTTAGTGTTTTATAACTGAATCGCATGTGTAACATATTTCAAAACATGGAAATGAGACAGATGGAGTTATTTTAAAAGCCATCACTTATGTTTAACTTATGGGAAATTAGTTTTTTCTCCCCTGCAAATAATAACAAAAAATTATCAGATTGTTATGTGTTTATATTCTTTAAAGGATCACTATAGTGTCAGGAAAACAAATCGGTTTTCCTGACACTATAGTACCGTGGTGCTGAAGGGGTTAAAAAAAACCTTCAGCAGCTTACCTTAATCCAGCCCCCCTCTTCTCCCCCACTGATGTCAGCTCCCTCGTTCAACTTCTCCCCCGCTGATGTCAGCTCCCCCGTCTCAATGCTCTGCGTGATGGAGGCATAATATGGACAGCCACTAGAGGCTGGCTTAACCCCAAATGTAAACATGTTTACAGCAGGCAGGGTTAACCCTAGAGGGACCTGGCACCCAGACCACTTCATTGAGCTGAAGTGGTCTGGGTGACTATAGTGTCCCTTTAACATCACCAATCCTAGTTACCATATGCAATGAATTCATAGGTGGGATGGCAAGGTACGCACAACAGACAAATGTCCCATGGCTATTCTAATTTGAAAATGATTTTCTATCATGCACATTCATCATATTTACTCTGCTGTCAAAGAGATAGTCATTTTAATGTCTTTATACTTATTTCACTGAAAACCCATCAGAAAAATCCTCATGGGTGACTTAAGCACAAGGACAGTAAACACGAATGTTACAACTCTCACCTTATTAACTACTAGACTTTCATTACTCCCTTTTGTTTTTTTAAAGTTTAAGGTTTTTAAGTTTCATTACTCACTTTTGTTTGTTTTTTTTACTCCCAAGAACCTTTTTGTTTGTTTGTTTGTTTTTTGTTATAGCATTTTTCTTTCTGGTAGTGATGTCTGTGGGTATGTATTGTAATTTGTTACATAATATTTAGTAGACCAATACACAAATGCATTTCAGATGGTACAAATGATCAAATGCCTTTTAATCTGCTCCTGAACAGATCAATTTGTCCGTGATATATCTAGGGGCGTTTTAGCCGCGAGACAAACAAGGCATTTGCCTTGGGCGGCATTTTTCAGGGGGCGGCAAAAAAAGCCGCCCCCCAAATGCCCAGGGCAAATGTCATGTTAGTCTCGCGGCTAACAGACATGCTGGGCACCGGGCTGCATTGGCGAGCGGGCGGGCGGCTGACGAGGGAGCTCTTCCTGTGAGCTGACTGCTCAGCTCCCTCGCGCGCTGCAGAGTGAGGCTGGGAGCCGGGATATGACGTCATCTTCCGGCTCCCAGCCTCACTCTGCGGCGCGCGAGGGAGCTGAGCAGTCAGCTCACAGGAAGAGCTCCCTCGTCAGCCGCCCGCCCGCTCGCCAATGCCGCCCACCCAGCAGCCACTGGACCACCAGGGAGATAGAGAAGCCCTTCCCTCTTAATGTGAGTGTGTGTTAGTGTGAGTGTGTGTTAGTGTGAGTGTGTGTCTGTGTGTCTGTTAGTGTGTGTGTCTGTTAGTGAGTGTGTGTTATTGTGTGTGTCTGTTAGTGAGTGTGTGTGTCTGTGTGTCTGTTAGTGTGTGTGTGTGTCTGTGTGTCTGTTAGTGTGTGTGTGTCTGTTAGTGTGTGTGTGTGTCTGTTAGTGAGTGTGTGTTAGTGTGTGTGTGTGTCTGTTAGTGAGTGTGTGTTAGTGTGTGTGTGTGTGTGTCTGTTAGTGAATGTGTGTGTGTCTGTTAGTGAGTGTGTCTGTGAGTGTGTGTGTCTGTGAGTGAGTGTGTCTCTGCTAGTGAGTGTGTGTGTGTGTATTTAGAAGGTGGGGGGAAGGGATGGGAGGGGTCACGCGCACGGGGGGGAAGGGATGGGTGGGGGTCGCGCGTGCAGGGGCGGTTGGGGGCGCCTGAGTTTTGTCCTGCCTAGGGCAGCACAAAACCAGGATACACCACTGGATATATCTATGAGTTCATATTGAATGAATAAGCCTCTACAGGTAAATTGCCGGATGGATCAATTCATTCGGGCATATAATAATAGGCATTTGCATCACTTGAAACGCATTTGTGCACAGGTCTACAAACTTTTATGAATACACGTACACATCTTCATGGCAATGGTGTTCCCTGATGGCAGTGGCATCTTTAAGCAGGACAATGCACCCTGTCACACTGCAAAATTGTTCAGGAATGGTTTGAACAACATGACAAAGAGCTCAAGGTGTTGCCTTGGCCTCCAAATTCCCTAGATCTCAGTCCAATTGAGCATCTGTGGGATGTGCTGGAACAACAAATCTGATCCATGGAGCCCACCTCACAACGTACAGGACTTAAAAGATCTGCTAATGTATTGGTGCCAGATACCTCAGGACATGTTTAGAGGTCTTGTGGAGTTAATGTTTTGAGGTATCAGAGCTGTTTTAGCAGCACGATGAGGATCTACACGGTATTAGGCAATTGGATGTTGCTGATCAGTATATATAGATAATATGTCATATAGCTCTTATGTTGAATACAAGGCACGAACATAATTGTTTTGTGGAAACTTGGGAGGTTTGTATTTCTTCCGTAACCTGGCAAAGGGAGACCAGCCAAGAGTCCCTAAAGATGAACAAACAAATAATTTTTCTTCATCTTTGCAGATCCAGTGATGTTTTAATTCATATAAATCAACATTTGACCCATTTTAATGGTTATAGGTAATTTTGACAGCATTTCTAAGTTGCAACTTTGTCTCAATTTTGTGATACTATTTTTAGTGTAATTTTGTGACAGTTTGCTACATATGTTGTCTTTTTTTTTCTGTTATACTTATCCATACCAATTTTCGATGAATAATTGGAAGGTGCATTTAAACTGTAAACTGTGAGACTGGTATTTCTATATTTGGTTTAAAAAAAAAAAAAGATATTTAGACAATATATCCCCATTTTCTATGTTTTATACGCCTTTAGGTGTGGTATAGTCACCTTCTATCCATTGAGCTTTTCACCTTGATTGTTTAAGAACCTTTTTTTATCATTTTCAAGAGTATATACTATTGGGAGTTTTTATTCTTTAATATTGGGTAAATCCATGAAAATGGATTGGTTTCCCACCAAAGCTTGTGCATCCTTCAACTCCACTGTGGTTCTCACAGAGCTCCACCACAGAGATTCACATATCTCTTATATGTATTTAAAGGGCAACTGTCATGAAATATTCACTTTTCATTATTTTAAAGTTTATTACATTTAATGAAACATAATTACTTTTTAATAATGTGTATTGATTTTTTTCTCTCTCTCTTTTAATTTATTACATTTAATGAAACTTAATTACTTTGTTTAATGATGTATATTGATTTTTTTCAGAAACTTAATTTTTTTATCTGGCTGAGTAGCCATGTTGGGTCAGACTCAACTGTTATCTGACAAACCGCTGCTCAACCTTACTTGCCTGAAGCTGTGATTGTTCTATGTGAAATTACAGCAACAGGCAAATTAGGTTGAGCAGCAGTTAGTGAAATAACATGGCTGCTCAGTCAGTTAAAAGTGAAATAGTGAAATTGTCTCAAAAGAATTAATGTACATCAGACTTCATTCATATATGTATAATATACATATACATTTGAGCATAAAGGAGTTTAAGCATGCGTGGGATAGGCATAAGGCTATCCTAACTATAAGATAAGGCTAGGGACTAATGAAAGTATTTAGAAAATTGGGCAGACTAGATGGCCCGAATGGTTCTTATCTGCCATCACATTCTATGTTTCTATGTTTCTAAAGCTAAAAAAACTGTTCTTGTACCTACCTGGTGACTAAAATCCATAGTCCTTTGCAAGAAGGTTGTGCTGGTTCCGAGGTGAGGCTAGCAACTAATGCTTTAGTCCCTTGGAGGGATATCTTTCTCGATGAGGCCTACTATGGCAGTGAGTGGGGTAGGCGGCTGCTGTCCTGCTATCCTGCCTACCTGTACCAAATTGGACGCCCAAGGCTATGTGGAATTGGCTCTGTTCCCCCCTCTGGACCGGTAGGGGAAATCCCGGTCCACACACTGTGGCCTCTACAACTGTGGCAACTCTGAGACTTCATGAAACTACCATGCCATTTCGCAGACCAGAAGTCGAATCTAAAATGGCGGATCCCTGGTATCCAGATGCCTATGCCATGTAAATGTAATAAACTAAAAAAAAAGTGAAAATGTTATGACATCTGTCCTTTAATATTCCCTTATAGATAGATATAGAAGCCAAAATTCATCATTCATGTGTCAACATGGCAAAACAGCAGATACAAGACAGATAATTAGAGAAAAGCAAGCAGATAAAAAAAGAAGACAGATAAACTTCCATCAGACAGTATGTCAGCATTGGTTACTAAGGCACTATCTACAATCTCAATCACCACTATCCCAGAGACCAACAAATTTATATATGCCACAGCATTAGTGGTCCTCCAGCAGCTTGACTACAAGGTTAAGCTGAAAGAGAAACAATGGCAACCATGGAGGCTAAGACTCCAAGATACATATGGAAGTTAGTAAGCTGAATATACTACTTGACTACGGAATTGACTACTCATGATGAGGGAGGGATGGACCAAGGGTTGCATGGCAGGGTTACTCTTCCTCTGGTGGAAATTTTACAAGGGACATTTGTTCATAAAAAAAGGTATATTTCATGTTGTTTGGACTATATTTGATGGGCATGTTGGTCAAATAGAGAACAAAGACTTTTGCATCCAATCCACATATTTTGTTAACAAGAGTGACATGGACAAAATTGCACTGAGTATCTGTTTTTTTTGTGGTGCTAAGGGCTGGTTTAAGCAAGAAAAGCAAGATGTTATGAGAAGAGGACTTGATGGGGAACTGCACATACTATTAATTACACTACTATATGCTAAAGATCCACTTTTGGTATAAATACCTCTACACAGCTGTAATAAAGGGAGTTCTGTTTTGATCCCTACTGTGTGGGTATGGTCATAATTACTCACTACAGTTCACCTATGAATTTTGGTCAGGCAACTTCGGGATATGCATCTCAGCACTCTCAAGGTCAAGAGTACTTTGACTCAGCAAGGCAATATCGCATGGTCTGGAAATAGCAAAGGAAGCCATGAAGTAATGGAGGTATTTAGTCAGAGTACTAGGAGACTGTTACACTGAAGAAATGCAATGGTATGCTAATACCAGATGCTCTAGCTAACCACAGCCTGTCGACATTGTCCACCAAACTGAGCTGATACACCAGAGAAGCAGGACCTAACAGAATAAATGCACTGTTTACAAATAAAAACAAAACATCCAAGATATAGTCACCCAAAACCCACCCAGAGTTGAGGTGGGACAGTACTGGAAGAACATCTTGGAGAATTTAAGCAATACACAACACCAAAGCCTAGTGGCTAGAAAACCTTAATGCAGACCACTGCATGCTTCTAGAAGAGGAACCAGTAAACATCACAGTGGGAGATATCCAACAAAGAGTTGGTCTGCACGAGTTGCTGACATGATCCATATCTCCTAGATAAAGAAACTAATAATGCTACATGAGAGCCTAGCAGCACACTGATTGGCTAGACTTGGACTTGATAACTGTTGGCAGATGAAAGCCAGGGCCAGACTGGGGATACGAAGCAGCCCTGGAAAAAAATCTATGCCAGCCCCATAAGTCATTGTGCTATGTAGGGTGTTATATATTAAAGGACCACTATAGTGTCCTGAGGGTGCCCCCACCCTCGGGGTCCCCCTCCCGCCCGGCTCTGGAAGGGGGAAAGGGGTAAAAACTTACCTTTTTCCAGTGCTGGGCGGGGAGCTCTCCTCCCCGTCGGCTGAATGCGCACGCGTGGCAAGAGCTGCGCACGCATTCAGCCGGTCACATAGGAAAGCATTATCAATGCTTTTCTATGGACGCTGGCGTGCTCTCACTGTGAAAATCACAGTGAGAAGTACGCAAGCGCCTCTAGTGGCTGTCAATGAGACAGCCACTACAGGAAATAGGGGAAGGCTTAACCCATTCATAAACATAGCAGTTTCTCTGAAACTGCTATGTTTATGAAAAAATGGGTTAACCCTAGCTGGACCAGGCACCCAGACCACTTCATTAAGCTGAAGTGGTCTGGGTGCCTAGAGTGGTCCTTTAATGTATGTATATGTGTGTGTGTGTGTGTGTGTGTGTGTGTGTATATATATATATATATATATATATATATATTATTGATACATTTCTTCTTCTAATTCAAAATATTAGTCCTTTCAAGGTAATTAAATTATACAGTAAAGCATACTCACACACAGACACAGACAATCTTACTGATGCACACAAATAGGCTCATTGACAGACAATCTCAATGACACACACAGACAAGGTTACTGGCAGACACACAAATTTAGTACAGACAAACTCTGATACACACAAGCTTACTACAGACAAGCTCACTGTCACACACACACGCTCACTACAGACAAGCTCACTGACACACACGCTCACTACAGACAAGCTCACTGACACATATGGTCACTACAGACACGCTCACTGACACACACACTCACTACAGACAAGCTCACTGACACACACGCTCACTACAGACAAGCCCACGATCACACCCATGCTCCTTACAGACAAGAGCTCACTAACACACACACATATGATCCCTACAGACAAGCTAACTGACACACATACAAGCTCACTCACTAGAAGGCACACACACACACACACAAACTCACTAGCAGGCGCACACACACACAGAGGCTCCCTCACTAGCAGGTGCGCACACACACACAGAGGCAGACAGTCACTGACACCGAGGCAAATATCCATACATACAGACAGGCAGACAGCCACACACACACACAGGCAGACAGTCAAACACACAGGCAGACAGTTACACACAGGCAGACAGTTACACACACACAGTCACACACACAGTCACACACACAGACACACACACAGACAGACACACACACACAGTCACACACAGACAGTAACATACACAGGCAGACAGACACACACACGCACACACAGACAGTCACACACAAACACACACTAACAGTCACACACACACACACACAGTCACAGTCACACACACACACACAGACAGTAACATACACAGGCAGACAGACACTCACACACACACACACAGACAGTCACACACAAACACACACTAACAGTCACACACTCACACTCACACTCACACACACACACTGACCTCCTTCTTCCCTCCTGTTTGTTGCTCCTGCAGGCTGGTTGTTGGGGAAGGAGTCCATGCTGCAACTAGCCGGGCCCGCCGCACAGTAAGCTCCGCCTCCGCCGCACGCTAAGCCCCGCCCCCGCCGCACAGTAAGCTCCGCCCCCGCCGCAATTTTTTTTTTTTTTTTAATGATCCCGGGCGGCCGTGTGTGAACTGTGCCGGCCGCCCGGCTCCCGCTGGCTCCCATGGGGCTCTGTGCGGCCGCACAGCTCACACACGGCCGCCAGGATCACAGGAGCTGTCAGACCGGCCCCAGGTGCCGCGGCCCACCGGGAAATTTCCCGGTATCCCGGTGGGCCAGTCCGGCCCTGATGAAAGCAAACATAGGGATAGAAAGTTTTGAAGTGCTAGGTCAATTAAGAGATATAGAGGACAGCTACAAGTACCTGGGGATACCAGAAACACCTGACAACCATGAGAAAAATGCAAGAAGGGCAGCAACATCCAAGTAAATCCAGAGAGACAGACAGGTCTTGAAATCATAGCTCAAGGCAAGAACAAAGATCCATGCCATCAACATATACAGCTTACCAGACAGATACATAGCTACAATAATAACCTGTCCAAGATAAGAGCTGGATCCCTTGGCTATGAAGATCCAGAGACTACTTATGAAGGAGGGATTCCACCTGAAGTCAGCACCCCGTACACCAGCCAGAAGGCATGAGATAAGGGCCTGATGAGTGTCAAGGTCACAGTCCTGTATGAAATACAGGAGAATCCACAAGTACATCAAAATATGGCTCTCAAAGATGAACTGCTAAAGGAATGCCTGAGACATCAGCAGTTCAAAGCTGCAAAAAATGAGTAGGTCCTATGGCAAGACAAACCTTTCTGTGGGATATTCTAGGAATATTCTAGATTATTCTAGTATCTTAGGTATTCTAGGAATACCATAATGCCTCACCGGTAAATATTTTTTTTCATATATGCATATGTATTTATAATTATTTTATAGATTGTTTAATAGGGCCGTCAATAATAAAACTTCATAAGTATTGTGTCAACAATTTTCTTCATGTTGACATGATCCCTGACCATGTTCCTATCTTCCTCATTGATGGTATATAGCATACTAGTACAGTACCTGAAATTAGCACTGATACAGTTTTTTTTTATTCTCTTCATTGGGCATGCTTGGAAAAAAGTAAGTTAAGTAATCATACAAAATTGGAAAGATTTATAAAATTGCATTGTAGATATGACTTTAGAAGGCTGGTCTATCAGATTATCTGGATTTAGAGTTTTCATTAAATACTTTTCAA